AAATTCAAAAACCTTATTTTAAATAACAGAACTGGGCAGAAGATCAAAAAAGGAATAGTGCATTTGAACAATATGATAATCCAATAATACCTATGACAAATATAAAACAAAACACCCCCCCCCCAAAAAAATACACATTTTCTTCAATTGTACATAGAACAATTTCTAGGATGCACCCTATGTTAGGCCATAAAACAAGTGTCAATAAATTCTCAAAGACTGAAATCATACAAAATATTTTCTTCAACCACAATGGAATAAAAGCAGAAATAAAGAACAGAAAGAAAACTGAAAAACCAAGAGATAAGTGGAAATTAAGCAACAGTTTTAAACAACCAGAGAATCACAGGGAAATTACAAAATACTACAGATGAACAGAATTTTGCTAAAACAGTGCTCAGAGAGAAATCTGTACTTGTAAACACTCACATGAAAAAAAATCAATAACCTACCTACACACCATAAATACTAGTAAATGAGAAGGAAACTAGGGTCAAGGCAGCAAAAGGAAGGATATAACGAAAATCGTAATAGAAACAAATGAAACTTGAGAACAGAAAAACTTAAGAGAAAAATAATGAACCCAAAAGCTGGTTCTTGCAAAGATCAACACCAATAAACATTTACCTAGATTGAGCAAAAAAAAAAAAAAAGACTCAAATCAGTAAACTCAGAAATGAAGCAGTACACCACTACCAATCTTACAGAAATAAAGGATCATGATAATACTATAAACAACTATATGCCAACAAATTAGATAAACTAGATGAAATGAACAAATTCCTAGAAACATACAAATTCCCAAACTGACTCAAGTAGAAAAGGAAAATCTTAACCAAATTACGACAAGTAATTGAATCAGTATTCAAAAACCTCTCTACAAAGAAAAGCCCCAAAAGAGGTTTCACTGGTGAATTCCTCTAATCATTTTAAGAATCAATACCAATTCTTCCCAAACTTCCAAAAACGTTAAGGGAACACTTCCTAACTCATTCTATAAGATTAGCAATATCCTAATGCCAAAGCCAGATAAATCCATCCTATGATAAATTTACTTCTCACAAAGGTGTGAGTTTGTAATTCTGAAGTCCTTCACATGCATATAACTAAGGTTGAAGTTACTAAGTTGTAGATGATGAGGGCCAGGCTGGGTTCCTGACTGTCCAAGAAAAAAGTTACAAAAAAGCACAAAAGGAATAATAGAATGAACTCTATGATGCTGATGGGAGTTGAAGATACTAGTAAAAACTCTTAGTTGTGTATTTTAATATACACCGAGAGATACAAATACATTTTCTACTTCTATCTGCTGAGAGGCCCTGGAAGCACTAATACCCCAATATAAAGGAGCGTATCAAGCATCCAAATTTCGGAATCTAAGTATCATTCTTCAGTAAGAGGAACTAGAGTTCCTTAGAAAAGTGGCTGACCCCAAAGCTGGGCAGGAAAAACACAAGCTGGACCTGGAACCTCTTCTGGAATCAAATAATATGCAAGTGTTTGTTGTAAATGCAAGAAAAGACACAGAAGCCAACCCAACAGAGCTACTAATGGCCAAAGCTAGAAAAATATGAGCAATGAAGTAAATAACAGTATTGGATTTTCTTGAGTCCAAACTAATATAATAATAAATTTTAAAATGAGGGAGAAATGAGTCTTCCTTAAAGAAGCAGTCCAATTATTAAATGTAAAAAAAATAATCAGTGGAACACCAAAGTAATAATTTGTAATAATCCACCAATGAATGAAAAATTTAGTGGGCAAATGCTTAAAGAGAAACAGCATATTTGCATAGACTCAAAGTATCTTCCCAAATACTTATTAATTATACAAAGGGGGAAAACGTTAAGGTGTAACTTTACACTTGAAAGCCTAGGGGCGCCTGGGTGGCTCAGTGGGTTAAAGCCTCTGCCTTCAGCTCAGGTCATGATTCCAGGGTCCTGGGATCAAACCCCGCATCGGGCTCTCTGCTCAGCAGGGAGCCTGCTTCCTCTCTCTCTCTCTCTCTCTCTCTGCCTGCCTCTCTGCCTACTTATGATCTCTCCCTGTCAAATAAATAAATAAAATATTCAAAAAAAAAAAAAAAAAAAAAGCAAGCCTTGCAGACACCCTCTTAATCCAATGATAAAAGCTAACACCACCGGAATAGGACAGAATGTTATCATGTATCCTTTGAATAGGACCAGCTGAGAAGGTCATATCACTCCTATGGTAGTTTTCCCAAAATCCATAACTTCACTCTAACCACGAGAAAACATTAGACAAGATTTGTGACCAGCAGTCTTCCAAGGTGTTGAGGTTATGAAAAACAAGGACGGACTGAAGAACTGTGACAGGCGACAGAAAACCAAAGAGATCTAACGACTATATGTGATGAGGGACCCCAAACTGCATCCTGAAAGAGAAAGGGTGTTAGTGGGAAAACTAATGAAACTCAAAGTTTCTAGTTTAATTAGTAGCACTGCACCAACATTAATTTCTTTTTTCATTATTTTTGATAATTGTTTTGATAACTTTTCCATAGTTAATGTTAATGTCCACAGTTAATGTTCCCTAATTAACATTGGGGAAAGTTAGGTGAAAAATATACAGAAATTCTACTATCTTCGTAAGTCTTCTGTATATCCAGAATTATTTCAAATCAAAAAGTTTATGCCTGTAAGACTTTAATGACAGAGCAAGAGTCTTATATTTTAAAAAATAAAAACAGGATAAAAAACAGAAAGTAGAGAATGATTTCAACCATGTTTTTGAAAACATAAGAAGACTCGGGGGGGAGGATAAAAGAGAAAGAAAGCAAATGCTCCAAGGCATTAACAGTGATTTGTCTGGATTCTGGAATTACAGAGAGTTGTTTCTCTTTATATTTTATACCTTCTATATTTTCTAAAAGTTTCTATAGTAAGCATGGATAACTTTTATGATCAATGATATAAAACCATTTTTAAAAAAAGAATTACAGTTCTTGTACCAATATGATAAATTTAAAAAAGAATTATAGCTCTTGTACCAATGTGATAAATGAAGAAATGGCATAGACTGGCAAGTATTAAATCATTTTGTTTGCTAAAGGGTGAAATATTAAGAATGTAAAACAAGGGTGCCTGGGTGGCTCAGTGGGTTAAAGCCTCTGCCTTCGGCTCAGGTCATGATCCCAGGGTCCTGGGATCGAGCCCTGCATCAGGCTCTCTGCTCAGCGGGGAGCCTGCTTCCCTTCCTCTCTCTCTGCCGCCTCTCTGACTACTTTGTAATCTCTATCAAATAAATAAATAAAATCTTTAAAAAAAAAAAAAAAGATTCTCGCTCATCCTGTCTCTCCCCGTCTCTCCTCCCCCCACCCCGCCAACCCTGCACCCAGCTTGCAAGTTCTCTCTCTTAAAAAACAAAACAAAACAAAAAACAAGAATATAAAGGTGTCAATCTACAGGTATTTAATGAACACATAGAGACGGTTCACTTCTACCACTATAATGCAGAGCAATAAAAGAAAGCCAAGGACGAAATCAGAGAGAATTAGGCAGAGAATGAGCCAAAGAGCTAAAGAGGAAATTAAAAAGTAACTGACAAAGGACTGGGAGAAAATACTAAAGAGACTGGTGTGTCTGATAAGGGGTTAATACCCAAAATATATAAAGAATTCATACAACTCAACACCAGGAAGCAAATCATCTGATTTAAAATGGGCAAAGAACCTAAACAGACACTTTTCAGAAGAAGACATCCACATGGCCAACAGACACATGAAAAGATGCTCAGCATCACCAGTCATGAAGGAAATGCACATCAAAACCACATGAGCTATCACCTAACACCTGTCAGAATAGAACAAAATAGACAAGAAATAACAAGTGTTGGCAAGGGTATGGAGAAAAAGAACCCCTTGTGCACCGCTGATGGGAATATAAGTTGGTACAGTCACAGTGGAAAACAGTATGGAGGTTACCCGAAAAATTATAAATAGAATTACCATATGATCCAATAATTCCATTCCTGGGCATTTATTTACACAAAGAAAACAAAAAGATGTATGTATGGCTGTTTACTGCAGCATTATTTATAGTAACCGTGATATGGAAGCAGCCCAAGTGTCCCCTAATAGATGAACAGATAAAGAAGATGTGGTACACGTGTGCAATGAACTATTACTCAGACACAAAAAGAATGAGTCACTACCATATGTGACTATTTGGTTGGACCTAGAGGGTATTACGCTACATGAAATAAGGCAGACAGACACAGACAAATGTACCATATGATTCCACTTATATTTGTAATCTAAAAACAAATGAATAAACAAAGAAACAAAGAGAATCAGAACTATAAATACAGAGAAATGATGGTGACCAGAAGGGGACAGGGATGGGAGATGGGCAAAATGCGTGAGGGGGGGGGTGAGAGATACAGGCTTCCAGTTACTGAATAAATACATCATAAGAATAAAAGGTAGAGAATAGGGAATACAGTCCAGTGTACTGTCACAGTGTTGTATGGTAACAGATGAGAGCTGCCGTCATGGTGAGCACAGCGTAAAGCATAAACTTGTTGAATCACTACGCTGCACGTCTGAAACTATCATGTATGTCAACTATATTCAAATTTTGAAAATTTTTAAAAATAATTAACTAATCAAAATCTATGGAATGTAGCTGAAGAAGTACTTAGATGAAAATTTTTGATTAAAGACTTATAGAAGACTAATATTAATGAGTTAACAATCTAAGTTATAAAAAGAAGAGGGGTCAAAAAAAATAGTAGTAGATTACTGAACAAGAAAACAAAGATATAATGTAGAGGATTCATGAAAGACAAAAAATTGGCAAACCCTTGATAAAACTAATCAAGGAAAAACAACCAAATGCATGAATGTATTAGGAATGAAGAGGGGGGTTAATTATAGAAACAGCAGAGCTTTAAGTAAATTTGCGTGCAATGCTGAACAGAAATTGATTATTACAGATGGTTACATATTTGGTCACCACAGCCATTCATTTTTTACTTACCGCCAACAGAAGACACATTTATTTGCACAAGCCAAGCTTGGGGTAGTTTCCATGCAACGATGGCTTTCAATGCCATAGAATGTATGTTTATAGCAACCTCCTCTCCCTCGGAGCATCGACTGTGAAAGTGAAAAAACAAATGATTATCTGGATAAAATCCTCAAGGCAAGGAAACAGAACACCAAGTACATCATATTTAAGAAAAAATGTGCTTTTCATAACCATAAATACCCCTACTGGTACCGGCATGACGCAGAAAATTATCATAGTGTTTTGATGGTGCTTTGGGTTTTGATGGTCCTTTAAGTTTTCTGAAACCCAGTGAAATAAACCTATGATTCATTAACTCTGAAAGATCTATAGAGAAAGCCACTGATGCTTGCGCTTTCAAATCCATTCAACTGCCTCAAATAATATTAGTCCAATAATACAGAAAACCAAGGGATAGGTACGATAGGCTCCAAGAAGAGGGCCACAGCACTCATATGAAGGGTATCTCTGCTTTGAGTAAGGGAGGGTGGATAAGGGAATGCATCCTGAAGTATATTCTGTGTCAACTGAAGGGCAGAACTTGAACATACTGAGACTGTTAAGGGGACAAGCAGCATCAACGTAAAAGACATATTTTTCCCAAAAAGGACACTATTTAGTATATGAGTCGTAAAACCACGGTGAGTGTAGTAAGAATGAAAAGTTGAAGAAATAGTGCATCTAACTTAGGGTTAGACTCACGAGATATTACCAAGCTTTCTGAGGTCTCATCAGAAAGATCCACCTAGAAATTCTGCAAGACAGGCTGGGTTTCAGTAAGAGCGAGATCTGGGGGGAAGCTATGCAAATAAGGTTATGGTGACTTGGCTCCTATTAGTGGAGAAAAGAGGAAGGGTGCTAAGAAGGTGTGCTCACAGGCACTTCCCACTGGAGGGTCAAAACAGAGCTACCCAAGGTAACTCTGATGCTGCCTCATCTCAGCTGCGACTGAATTAACAACAGAAACAAACAAGGAGATGCAAGGAGCCCGTGTGTGTGTGTGTGTGAGCGCGCGCATGTGTGTGATATATATATACCAGTGTGCTAATATTATAATCCTATCCACAATGAAAGAAAATTACCAAAAGATCTACCAGCTTGATTACTATGTTGGTTGATCACAAAGTCTTATTTTTTGCCCTGATAAAAAAGGTTCCCTTGTCCATCTCACTTGGTACTTGCATAACGAAAAATAAGAAAAAATACTGTTCAAGGTAATGACAAATTCTCTTTCAACTTCCCAATAAAATATCCAAAAGGCAAACAAAACATCCTGCAAACAGCACCGGAAACTAAAAATAAAAGCCTTCCAAATGCCAAAGTCAGAGGGAAACCAGCACTAAAGGAGAAACGAAGTTGAGGACCTGAAGATACCATTATTTACAGAGAAGGTAACGAACCTCAAGGACGGGTGTTGAATGTACAAGAATGAGTAAGACCGAGCCCCCAACCATGATCCAGTATGAGGAAATGTCAAGTAAAGAGGCAAAATGGGGGGCGCCTGGGTGGCTCAGTGGGTTAAAGCCTCTGCCTTCGGCTCAGGTCATGATCCCAGGGTCCTGGGATCGAGCCCCGCATCGGGCTCTCTGCTCAGCGGGGAGCCTGCTTCCCCCTCTCTCTGCCTGCCTCTGCCTACTTGGGATCTCTGTCAGTCAAATAAATAAAATCTTAAAAAAAAAGGGGGGGGAATGGGTAATGCTATTGCAATAGGGTATTTGAATCAATCAAGAGTGTCCTGCAAGCAACAGAAACTGACTGTGGCTGAAAAGAAAAGGGATTTATTAAAAGAACCCCACAGCTCCCAGAATCTTTAGAAAGGCAGGAGTACGGCCGGCCGGCAGCAGGACCAGCCCTCACTCCCTCGGACGCCATCACGCTCGGGACACATCACCGGCACCAGCCTTGAAAAGCAGAGGATACTGCCAGGAGCCCAAGTATGAGGTGTCCGTGGCCCAGGTCCTTGTCCTCACTCACCTCACATTCCCAGTCTCAGGCAAAGGCAAGCACCACCCTACATGACACTGTTACACCCACCGCCAGCCCGAGATACCAGGCAACAGTGTCTCTCCTCCTCGGCTTCTGAAGCAGGCAGTGGGTCCTTGCGCTCAACAAAGCTAATGTCACAGGAATTCCCCAAACACGAAAAGGCCCAGATGCTGGGCAAGCAGAGAAAAGCCAAGTGTCCACCAGGCGTTACCGGAGCCCATGAGATGGACGCCAAGCCAGCTGGCCTTGCAGGAGCAGAGAGAACTTCCCAGAGGGGTGCTGTGCACACTCAATACCGGAGGGCTAAAAGGATAAAGGGACGGAGGCACATGAGAAGAAGGATGACACGCTGCTCTTTTTAAAACTGTTTTTTCAGGCGCCTGGGTGGCTCAGTGAGTTAAGCCTCTGCCTTCAGCTCAGGTCATGGTCCCAGGGTCCTGGGATCGAGCCCCACATCGGGCTCTCTGCTCAGCGGGAAGCCTGCTTCTCTCTCTCTCTGCCTGCCTCTCTGCCTACTTGTGATCTCTGTCTGTCAGATAAAATCTTTTAAAAATAAAATAACTATTTTTTCTGTAAGTTTTATAGCTTTAGTTTAGTTCATGATCCATTTTCAGTTAATTTTTATGTAAGATGTGAAGTTTATTTTTTCAAAGATTTTATTTTTATTTATTTGACACAGAGAGAGAGGGAGGGAGGGAGAGCACAAGCAGGGGGAGGAACAAAGGGAGAGGGAGAAGCAAGCTCCCGCTGAGCAGGCATCACACTGAGCTTTAATATCAAGCTGTACGATTCCTCCCACTTTATTTCTCTTCCTCGACACTGTTAAAGCTATTTTAGGGCCGGGGCCATTCCCTGCAAATCTGAGTAGGTCTGTCTATTTCTACAGAACCCTCTAGTAGGGATTCTAGTAGGAACTGCATGGAACGTATAGATCAGTCTGGGGAAAGCGACAGTTTCCCGTACTGTGTCTTCTAACCTACCAACATTTACTGAGATTTCCATTTAGATTTCCATTCACATGTACCCGCGTTCAGATTTTCATCGGTTTCTGCTTCGTTCTCTTTCCGCATTTCCGGCGTAAGCACTTGCCGCTGTAAACGTCCCTCGGACCCCTGCCTGACTCACCTCCCACATCTGGTTTCGCTGTACTAAGTCTTCGCTTGTGCGGATTTTTCCGTTTCCTTTGCAAGCTCTTCTGTGGCCCAGGGCTTTCAGAAATGCACTGTTTAATTTCCATACAGAGATTTTCTTTTTGTTTCTATTATTCATTTCTAGCTTGATTGCATTACGGTCAGAGAACAACCTAATGATTTCAATTCTTGTAAATCCACTGAGATTTGTTCTTTGGCCGAGGACATGGCCGGTGCTCCACAGGCACTCGAAAATGTGTATATTCTGCTGTTGCTGGGTAGGATGCCCTTTATCTGTCAACCAGATCCTATTAGTTACTAGTGTTGCTGTGATTTTCTGTGTCCTTGTGATTTTCAGTCAAGTAGTTCCAGCAGATGCTGAAAGGGGTTTCAAAGTCCCCAACTACAGGGGCACCTGGGCGGCTCAGCCAGTAAGAATCTGACTCTTGGATCAAGCCAGGTCATGATCTCGGGGTCGTCAGGCTCTGCACTCAGCAGGGAGTCTCTCCCTCTGCCCCTCCCCCCGCTCACATGTGTGCTCTTTAAAAAAAGGTGCCCAGCTGTAACTGTGAATTTTTATTTTTTTAAGGTTTTTCCATTCAACTACATCAGCTCTAAGCCTCCAGTGTCTGATGTAACCTCATTTAGTGTGGATTATCCTTTTATTATTATGAAACGTCATTCTCCGACTCTAGTATGTTTCCTGGCTCTGTGCTCTGCTTAATCTGACTTGATAGAGGCAATCCTGCTCTCTGGGTTACTGGTGGCGTGCTATGAATCTTTCTATCATTTTACTCAACCTGCCTGCGCCACTGGGTTTGAGGTGAGTTTCTTGTCAATGTATTCTGGGGTCCTATGTTGTTGGGTTTTTTTGTTTGTTTGTTTGTTTTTTAACATTTTATTTATTTGACAGACAGAGATCACAAGTAAGCAGAGAGGCAGGCAGAGAGAGAGGGAAGCAGGCTCCCTGCTGAGCAAAGAGCCCGATGTGGGGCTCGATCCCAGGACCCTGAGATCATGACCTGAGCCGAAGGCCGAGGCTTAACCACTGAGCACCCCCAGTGCCCCGGGGGTCCTATGTCTTGTACCTGCTCCACTGGTTCATGTATTTAGAATATTTACATTTGAGCGTGCCTGGGTGGCTCAGTGGTTAAGCCTCTGCCTTCAGCTCAGGTCATGATCTCGGGCTCCTGGGATCCAGCCCGAGTGGGCTCCCTGCTCAGCGGGAAGCCTGCTTCTCCATCTCGTCCTGCCACTCCCCCCGTTTGTGCATTCTCTCAAATAAATAAATAAAAGCTTCAGAATGTTTACATTTGAAGCAATCACTAATTTATTAGTCCTCGGGTCTGGTATTTTGTTATTTGTTTCCTGCTTGTGTCCTTTTTGTTCTCATACCCTTTACTCTTTTCTTGATTTCCTGCAGGTTACCTAACACTTTTAGTATTCCATCTTAATTTATCTTGGATTTTTTTTTTCTTTTAGTGTATCCCTTTGTAAACTCTTGTCAGAGTTGTTGGCTGCTCTTTGCATAGTTTCGTAGAAGTTATTCGGAGTCTTGCATATATACAGGACTTTTGCATATACTGCATATATCTGTGTGTGTGTGTGTGTGTGTGTGTGTGTGTGCGTGTACACTTACATATATAGGTGACTCTCAGAGTCGGCTGCTACTAACATTTTATACCTCATGTGAAGTGTGGAAATATCACTTCCATTCCCTTTAACTTTTCCTCTTTTAAATGAAATATCATTGCCCTGAGTATTACGTGGTACTTTACTTTGTTTCAATCATCAAATATGATTTCTAAAAATCGTGAGGAAAATGATCATCTCCTGCACATACCCATATTTCTGATCTTTCCATCATTCTTCCTGACTTTGTGCTGCAATAATCCGTATCATTTCATTAGAAGAACTTCCTTTAGCCAGTTTTTAAGGGCACATTAGCAAACAACGAATTCTTTGTTCTCAAT